GTGTGTGTGTGTGTGTGTGTGTGTGTGTGTGTGTGTAGGTGAGGAGCTACTTCTCCTATGGAAGGTAATCTTGTGAGATTGTCAGCCAAGGAGCCCAAAGTCCATCTCTCCCTCTCTTTCTTAAATTTCCCTCTTCTGAAGATAGGATAGGAAAACAAAAATAATCAGAACTTACTCTTATTTCCTGGAAAAGCTATAGACTAGCTCCTCCTGCTGTAATCCCTGCAAGTGCCCCAGTCCTGCCCTTGCCAGGCCAGATTTTCAGCTTTCTTTGATACTCTAGTGCATTCCCTATTTGTTTCAGGTAGCCAGGGTCAGGGCTCATTGCTTGCAACCAATAAACTCTAGGTATAGGGGACCTTTCTAAGCTTCTTGTGTGGAGACCCAGCAAAATCAATCATTTGTGGAAGTTGAGTTATGTAGCCATCTGTAACTTGTCACCCCTAGGAACAGAGGGTTAAGTGCGGAATGAAGTCTTAGATAAAAGTAATTTAATATCTGAAAATATACCACCCCCTTATTTTAGCTGTTAAATAAACTGTAATGGTACAAATCACAAAGAGAGAAAAACCTCCAATGACCTCATAGCATTTATGGTCTGGAGTTCATAATAACTACAAAGTACTTAATATGTAGGTGTAGAGGATGGTTAATTTCCCCCAACTCAACAATTGATCTGGATTTGCCTGATGACATCTGACCTACTTTTTCAGCATTCCAGGCAGTAATTACCCAAAGTCCTCCCCAAAGCCTCGGTCTATAAAATCCTCCTTTTAATAAGATTTAACAAGCCTTTAGTGTGCTCCTGCAGCACTTCAAAGTCACACCAGCACCAGGAGAGTGTTTTTAAAACATGGAATGCACCAAGTGCATTCTGGGGTGTTTCAGGCTTAAGACAAAACTGCAGGGATACAAACGTCAGGTACTGTAGTCTGGAGGGAATAGTTGGGATGTGGGGAGGAGAACAGGGGTAGAAAGCCGTGGGCTCTTAAGTTTATTGAATCAAGCAAACGAAAGAGTACCAGGTAGATCTCGTGTGAACCAGGCAGTGGGCAATTCTGAAGCATATCATGGCCTAAACAATAGCTACCTTTTCTTTTTCTTTTCTTTTTTTTTTAAATTTTTCATTTGGGTCAGACAGGCATGGGAATGGCAGGGCAAAGGCTTAGTTACTCCCAAAGCCCCTGCCATACATCTAGAGCTTCCAGTTCTATTTCTGTTTACACGCATTGTAGCTATGCATGATACAGTCACTTTAATGTGCTCTGTCTGTAAAATTAAAATACCTACTTTCTCAAAAGCTCAGAAAAGAGTTTGGAGAAATTATTGCTTCCAGAGGTTCTGTATCTGCCAAACGTTTTCTCAAGAAAGAGGATACCATGGTTGGGGAAATTTAGTGATTTCTTTGTTGTTCTAGAACAGCACTCACCAGTATGGTAGTGGCTAGCCACATGTGGCTTAAAATTAATTAAAATTTAATAAAATTTAAAATTCAGATCTTTAGTCACACTAGCTAAATTTCAAGAGTTCAGCAGGCTCATGTGACTACTATATTGGACAAGATAGAATTATAGAACATTTCCATCATTTTCAACATTTCCATGCAGAAAATTCCATTGGACAGCAGTGTTCTACAGTAAGAATTGTTAACACCTTTGTTGTGTTTTCATCTTACTAGTCGGCAATAAAAATGCCAAAGAGATACCTTTTCCTAAAGATTCTTTATATAAATACCAAAGAGACTCCTGTAAATATACAGAAAAATTAGTGATCTTACCAAGATTGGAACTTCTTTTATTAGTAAACATGATGATTACCTTCTATTACCTTCATCCTCCTATTTGGCTAGGATCTGTTTTCATTTACTAACTCAAGAGAGTACAGTGAATCGGAAAAAAAAAAACGAGAGTAGTAAATTTAAGCATTTAAATATCATAGCGAGAATGCAGCCTTTCATATAATTTTGTGGAAAATTATTTCAATGGTCAATTTTTATTTTGGCTGGGAAGATAATTCAGTATCCTTAGAAAATAAATCCTGATGTTCTTTGTGAGGAAAATATGACTGCCTCAGTTACCACACACTTTGCAGTTGAAATATTGTGCTACTCAAGTGCCTTTTTTGTTAATAAGAGATGATACTAGCCTGGGAAATACAAGCAAGGCTACTGGTGTTCTCTAAAAACATTCTAAGAAATCTGCCAAAAGATGTATCACATGTAGCGCAATGACCAACCGGCCTATAATAGGTTCTCAATACATGTTTTCAAAATGGAATTGACAGGAAAACTACAGCCCCTTAAAAAATAATACCTACTTACTAATTTTTCATTACAAAAAGGTTCATAAAATATATTGGAAAATACAAAAAAGTTGGAAGATTTTTCACATGCTCATAATTCCCTTTGTTTTGGTTAAGCATAATTTTTTTTTAATTTTTTTTAACGTTTATTTTTGAGACAGAGAGAGACAGAGCATGAGCAGGGGAGGGTCAGAGAGAGAAGGAGACACAGAATCTGAAACGGGCTCCAGGCTCCGAGCTGTCAGCGCAGAGCCCGACGCGGGGGCTCGAACTCACGGACCGTAAGATCATGACCTGAGCTGAAGTCGGCCGCTTAACCGACTGAGCCACCCAGGCGCCCCAAGCATAATTTTTTAAAAGTTGTAATTATACTAGAGTTTGAACTTTCATGTTGAAGACGGCGTAATTAAGGCTTCTGGCTAGACCTGTTAGAATGGAGTCTGAAGAGGTTGACTCTTCATGAAAGATTTTTTGATGCGGGGGCGGGGTGGGGGGAGGAGATGAGGGAAACTTTGTAAATCCTCATCTCTTTAAGCATCCTTCGCTGGTATTTATCTTGTAACAGTTACACCTGTATGGCCTTTTAAGCCCATCCTTTGACACGTGAAAAGAAAAAGAGGTGTAGCCAATTCACAAAGCCAATTAAGTTCCCTCGGGTAAAGTCAAGGAAAGAAAAAACGTGGGCATCTGTGTGATGTATTTGTTTACTGACAAATTTCCAGAGCCTGAACCCAGTATTTATATTCACTTCGGCCGGGGAGGGGGCCATTTCTCTCCCCGCCACAGCTCGTAGGTATCAGGCCCACCCTTTCTTCTGAGTCAGGGGTTTGGGGAGAAAAGCACGAGCCTCTGCAACTCCCGGCAGCCAGTGGCAAAGCCTGGGCCCGGGGCCTGCGGGGGCGGGGCCTCGGCGTGCTACCCGCACGCTTAGAGGCCAGCGCGCCGGTCACGTGCTGCACGGGCCCCGCGCAAATAAACCGGGCGCGCGCGCGCGCTCCTGACGCGGGCGGCGGGGAGGGGCGGCGTCACCTCGCAGAGTGGCGCTTGACTGTCTCGCGTTCCGCCCCGTTCCGGGCTCCGGGACTCGGGAGACAGTCCTTCCGCGGGGCCGCGAGTCCTCCGGTAGTGCCAGCCAGAGTTGGTGACGGCCGCTTCATCGACGTGGGGAAGCCTGCGGTCGTGGCCCCCACCCCGGGAGCTCTGGGAGCCCGGGTGACCGCGTAGGTCAGTTTCCGTGCCTGGTTCCTGTGCGAGCGCGTTCCCCCCTGCCTGGTGCGCGGGGAAGATCTGTCCTCCCCTGGTGGGGGGTGCGCGGGCGTCGCGCGCGCGTCTCCGAGGACTGAGTCGTGGCGATGCTGGGCTCCCACCCCTGGCTCGGCTACCGTGTGGCCGCCGGCTCTCCAATGCCGCAGCGAACTTAGTTGTTAAAAGTAGCGAGATGCTGGCGTTTGTTGCACTTCCCCTCGGGGTGCAACGACTTGTGCTAGTGCTACATGCATTCCCTACCAGGTCATCGGCCGTGTGCTTTCTCGGTACTCTGATGTGTGCATCATAACTTTTAGTTTCCTACTACCATGAGGAGAGGATTGATTCTCAGTGGAAGTCACGAGCTGTCCATGTGACCATTCTCTCAGTGTACCTCGTGGTCACTTCGACCAACATGGAAGACTATCAAAGGGATAGACAGTATGAAAGATTGCAGCTGCACAGTAGAAACAATGATTCATTTGCCTGGTGGCCCTATTGATTGGCAAAAGGCGCTAAAGGGGTTATTCTGATTTAGTTAATATTAGTTTTTCGTTGTCAAAGTTGTTGCTTTATGCAGACTATATTGTGAAGTTGAATTGCTGGCAATGTGATATTAAGCGGAGACTGCTCGAATTTAGCACATTTAGTTACTAGGCTCTTGTGGATAGTTGCTGGTAATGCCTAAAATCAGTGATGCGTTTTCCCTGAAGCCTTAGTATTGTAGTTGTTGCATTCTTGATAGAGTTCGGAATATCCTCACCTCTTTACTAAGCATTTGGAAAATAATTTTATGGATTTATTTTGAGGGCTAGCAATGTTTGCGTTCTAACCCTGAGAACAACAAATTTTATGCAGCCAGTATTGTAGGTATAATTTCTGCGTCCCGCAGCTGAAAATTTTAAAGATCTCTGTGATAATTACAGAATGGTTACAAAATCCACCTTATCTGCATCCCCTAGTTCTAAACTAGGGGCTCTATCTACAATCTACAGGAGACAAGAAAAGTGTCAGCAACAGTTTTAAATTTTATCACCTTTTTCTCCCTGGCAGCACTGAAATTTGATAGTCAAAACAGGAGGTAACTGCCGCAAGTTGAGTAGATTTATCTGAATCAGTTGCTGTAATTCTGTGTCGTCTTCTGCCAAGGTCAGTTTGTCAGATGACACTTGCTAACTATCTCAGCAGAATCTTGTCAGTGGAAATTTATGGCGGGTGGCTAATCCTGGTCTTGGCGGTATTATTCAAGCGTACTTAACACCTGTAATTCAGAGCAGCTGGATGTTTCTACAAAAGCACCGCTCCCCCCACTCTGCCCTTAGGACAAAGGGGAATACATGTTTAGAATCAACAGGTAGGAGAATACAGCTGGTTTTGTTTTATTTTGGTTTTGAGGGATAACAGGGCGCAGTGTCTGTTAGATAAATTAAAACTTTTCTTCTTGTGGCTTTATTTAACTTACAGAAACATCTGTATATTTAATCATAATCTTTTCAGGTTGGAACTCTGTGGCCCTTTCTTACCTCTTGACCTCGCTAAAAAGCTGAGGTATTGTACATTCCATGTATTCACTGAGAAAAGTAGTAGAAGGTAGAAATCAGCTTAAGGAAAGAATGAGGTAGCAAGTGCACATGAGAAATTTGAAGGGGTTAGGAACCTTGTCAGTTCTTTCAAGCCAAGTCTAGTGGTAATCAGAACTTTATTGATGACTAGTAAGTTCTTTCCAGTTCCCAGAAAGAGGGCAGGTGTTAGCAGTGTAGTCACCAGCTTATACCAGTCTTGCCAGAATTCATTAATGAAGTGATAGAAAAGATGCAGTCTGTGCAGTTTATATTGATGATCACGATGCCATAGAAGTATCTTTTAGGATGCTCTTGATCCCTAGAAATGTTGGATTTTCCCTCACTTATCTGATCTCAACCACTAATAAGGTGGGCAAGTATTAGAAGTAGTTTTAAAGCTTTTTCCTTGAAGTATAGTTGACGTATAATGATTAGTTTCAGGTGTACAACGTAGTTATTGCACAATTCTGTATATTAAGCTATGCTTACCACAATAAGTGTAGTTACCATCTGTCACCATACAATTTTTACGCTTTTAGTAAGAGGAACTACTAGGTCACTGGCTGTGAGTTCTTGTACATATCAGCCAGCAAATAGGAAATTCCTATGTAGTGAAAACAGTCTTTGTCCATTTTCCTATCATGTGACAGTGGAAAGTAACCACATGTTTTCACTTTGTTATTTAAAGTTTTTCTTTAAAGAGAAACTTCTGACTATATGGTAGATAATGGGTCAGTATTATATATACATAATTTAAGTTTGGAAGATAATTTTCAAATGTGAAATAATAAAAGTGGAAAACATTTAAATACATTTTATCTAAAATTTAAGGAATTTTATCATTAAAAGGTAACAATTAAGCTCATTGTTAGAGTATTTTTACTATCCAAAACTGGATTTGTCTAATGTGTGGACTTGTCTGCCCTTTGCTTCTACAGATCCAAACTGTTTGAAACAGTAGTTAACAGTTCTAAGAATCTATCCAGTTCAAATGCAAATCAGGGTTGCATCTAAGGGTTCTTGGTTATTGAAGCACATAAAATGTGTAGCAACCTAAGGTTAGCTTAAACGATTTCATAAAGCAAGGCCGAGAAGCTTACATAATTTTCACAAATTTTGATTAACACTTTCAACCAAATGTAAAATAAATACACAGGAAGTGGGATTGTTCTTCTATGGTGGAATAGCATCTAAGTCCATGTGGGTGTATAACAAGAATGAATAGAGAAGGTGGTATAAATATGTCAAATCTCACTAAAGTTTACAAACTGTAGTGTTACTACAATTTTAGCTACTTCTCTATCATTTCTCCTCCCAAGGACACAAGGCTGTTTATCAGTGCACAAAGTCTTATTGGAAGGAATTTATAAAGTTTCATTGAATTAAGAATTAAGTGACTTTTAATTGAACTTTACCTTTTTGAAAGAAAGAAGTGAGTGCCTCCTAAAATAGACTTGATAATTTGTTTTCCTTAAATTGCCATGTTTTGGCTACCGCCTTTTAGTTAGTGAATAAGGCTTCTAAAAATGAGAGGATTAAGGCATAAATCAGATTTAACTTTCTTAATGTTCACACAGGAACAATAACTAGAATCAATGGCCTTTAGTTTTAGAGGCCGAATTGAGTTTTATGAAATGTATAGCTTTAATAACAATGTGCCTTGATTAGAAGTTCTAGATTCTGGTTTTGGCTTTATTGGCAAATAACTTTACCTCTGTACTTTCCGTTTTTTTTTTTTCATTTCTAAAATCAGCATTAAGTTAAGTATGAATCTACCACTGTTGCGTTTCTAAAACAATGTATTTGTGTAATTGTTATCCCAAATTTATAGTTGTATACATACATTTATATGTGTATATATGTACATACGTACATGTAGGAATATGATCGTATTAGAGAAATCACTGCTAGGAGTTAGAATGAGGACAAAATTTATTTTCTTGCTATTGCCATGTTTTTTACATAGTTCAATTTTTAATATTTCCCTCACATTAAAAGAATAATAATGGGGGGGCGCCTGGGTGGCTTGGTCGGTCAAGCATCCGACTTCAGCTCAGGTCATGATCTCACGGTCTGTGAGTTCGAGCCCCGCGTCGGGCTCTGTGCTGACAGCTCAGAGCCTGGAGCCTCCTTTGGATTCTGTGTCTCCCTCTCTCTCTGACCCTCCCCCGTTCATGCTCGCTCTCTGTCTCAAAAATAAATAAACGTTAAAAAAAATAATAAAATTAAATTTAAAAAAAATGGAAAAAATAACTCATACCACTAAGCAGCTAGCTACATTGGAAAGCAGTGCTAAGTGCACTACGGATTTTTATGTTAGATTTTGTAAAATATGTTCATAATTACATTTAATTTTTCTCATTCAAATTCCTAGCATACAGTGTGTTTCAAATATTGTTGTAATAATACCAAGCATAAAAGCAGTATCTGAGAATTTTTTATTTTTTTTTTTAAATGTTTATTTTTGAGAGCACGATCAGGGGAGGGGCAGAGAGGGAGACACAGAATCTGAAACAGGCTTCAGGCTCTGAGCTGTCGGCACAGAACCCAACACAGGGCTTGAACCCACAAATTGTGGGATCGTGACCTGAGCCGAAGTCAGATGCTCAACTGACTGAGCCACCCAGGCACCCCTGAGAATTTTTTAAATAATCACAATATGTAGTCAATTTTGAATAATTAGGTTCCTTTTGACTGTAATAGTAGAAAAGCTATTTGACAACTATAAGAACCATATTTCAGATGCTTCCTGAATTTCTCTTATTGTAAAATATACGTAACAAAATTACCCTTTTAACCTTTTTTAAGTACACTATTCAGAGGCATTAAGTAACTTACATCATTGTGCAACCATTGCCACTGCCCATCTCTAGGATTATTTCAACATTCCAAACAGAAACTGTGTAACCATTAAATACTACCCACTCCCTCCTCCAGCTCCTAGTAATCACTATCCTGTTTTCTCTCTGAATTTGTCTATTCTAGGTACCTCATAGAAATGGAATCATACAACATTTGTCCTTTTGTGTCTAGTTTCACTTAGCATAATGTGTGCAAGTTTCATCCATGTAGCATGTGTCAGAATTTGCTTCATTTTCAAGGCTGACTAATAATCCATTGTATGTATATGCCACATTTTTTCTATTCACCTGTCACTGGACACTTAGATTGCTTCCACCTCTTGGCTATTGTGAAGAATGATGCTGTGAACATGGGTGAGCAATTATCTGTTTGAGTCCCTGCTCTAACGCTTTTGGGTGTATTGTGGGTCCTATGGTAACTCTTAATTTTTGAGAAACTGCTATACTTTCCTGACATTTTATAATACCCAGTTAAATATTATGTGTATTATTGAATGAAGTTAGCCTGGATGTCTTTGAATATTAACTTTTCAAATACCATTAAGAACTCAAAGAC